ATAAAAACAAAGATGTGATGGCACACATTTGTGATCCCACTGGAGAGGCAGAAGGTAGGAGGGTCCTTGGTGCTTCTTGGCCAGTCAGTCTAGCCTGCTTAATCTGTTCTAGGTTAGCAGGAGACCTTGTCTCAAAAAAAAAAAAAAAGTTAGTGGAAGGACACCAGAGGATGTTCTTGCCTCCACATATACATATATATATCCACACATAAATTAACATGTACACACACACACACACAAACACCCCTTTAAATGTCATGTATTTCTAGAAGTAGGATTGCTGAATGATAAAATTCTGTATTTGGGTGTTCTATTTTTTGAAACAATCTCACCGTGTAGCCAGTCCATGTTGGCCTAGAACTCCCAATACTCTTGTCTCAGCCTCTTGAGTGCTGAGATTACAGGGTATGTACCTTCATGTTTGCCTTACACTTGGTTTTAAGAAGGTTCCATACTGCTTTTTATGGTACCTGTACCCTTTCATGGTCCCAACTGTGTACATGGGTCCTGTTTATCTACATCCTCACTCACAGCTGTGGGCCTTAAGTGTGAGAAGATAGATTTAAATGTGCATCTCTGTGGTGATCAGTGATAGCATCCTTCACATGCACATTGGCCATTTGTATGTCTCCCTTTACCAAGTATCTGTTTGGGTCCTTAAGTTTCTTATTAAATTGTGGAGTACTTTTATGTATTATGCATATTAACTGCTGTGGCTTGAATGTCTCCAGCAAAACATGCTGAAATCTCATCCTTTTAAGTTCTACTGTTCTACAGTACAATGGGTGACCACTGTTTATAATAAAATATATTTTACTAGAAGAGAAGAGTCAAGGGCTACAAATAAAAATAAGAAAATGGTAATGCTGGTTGCCCAAATTGGTCAGCATATGCTGTATACATGTTGAAAAATTACACTGTGTCCCATAAAATGTTAACGTGTTAATTCGAAATTTTAGAAATTATTTAAAGATATTTAGTTTTTCTTGTGAGGTGTCAACTGTCTGCCTCAGGAATGGATTAATGGATAAATGAACCCATGGGTTGTCATGCGACTAACTGATATAAAGCCAAGTTCTTTCTGGTTTGCTTTGTGGTCTGCCTGTTGTCTTCCATATCTCAGAGGAGAGCCCTCATCAGAAGCCACAGTGATGCTGGAGACATGCTTTCGAATTTCCTAACTTCTAGATTGCCCAAATAAACTTCTCTTTATAAAGTGACCAGCCTCCGGTATTTTTTATAGCAACATAAAATGGATTATATTAACAACCCTTTATTAATGATATGCAAATTTTTTCCATCCTATAGTTCCCTTTTGCTTTTTATTTTTCTACAGACATAACAGTAGGAATTCCTTTTTGCCTGTTCTTTGTTCCTAAGTGATATATTAGCTCTACCTTCAAAAACTGCCCAATATACAAACATTTTTCAAAAAATAGTGAGGGCCAGGGAGATGGCTCATTAGGTAAAGGTGCTTGCCGCCAAGCCTGACAACCTGAGTTTGATCATGGTAGAGAGAACTACCATTAGTTGTTTCAAATCTCTCTCTCTCTCTCTCTCTCTCTCTCTCTCTCTCTCTCTCTCTCTCCACACACACACACACACACACACACACACAGCAAATGTAAAAAAAAAATGTTTGAAAGAAAAGGCAGTTTTTCTTTTTAACCTGGAATTAAACAAAGTATCTGGAAGACATCTTTTATTATTTATGCCTTATTTTGCATGAAAAAATTTTTTTTGAGACAAGGTCGCATATACACTCAAATGCACTGGGTGTCCTGCACCAAAGGGGACAGCAACAGGGAAGCAGAGGGTGTGTGATGGATATGCTTAATCATTTCACAGGGTATATCAAATCATCCAAGTATAGAAATCTTGTCAACTATGCTTCCGAAATCTCAGTAAAAGTTTGAATTCTTTCATAGTAAAGGAGACTGGATAGATATGACAACTAAATGCAATACGTGATGACACACTAGATCTGTACTAGAGGGGAAATAAGCTATTTGAAAAGCTTGGCAATATCAGAATATGAATAGAAGATTAAAGCCCAGTAACTTCTAATAACAATACCCTAGATCCCTAAGAGGCTCTCTGTGCTTTTAAGAAAGTAAAGGTTAGAAGGAATAGTTTATGTAACTTACTCTATAATTATTAGTACAAATTAAATAATAGGCTTATATATTACTACATAACATATACATTACAAAGAATGTTGAATGTGCAAGATGTTAAACATTGGCAAATATGAGTAAAAGACAGTTCTGTTATGCTTACAATTTTTCTTTCAGTTCAAAATTATCTGAAAGTAAAAAGTTAAAAACCAAGGGTAATGGTAAATTATAAGGACTTGTGAAAAATCAATAGCAGAAGTCTAATTGGAAGATTGGGATGTGACATTTCAATGAAAGCTGCTTGAGAGCTGGTTGTGGTGGCACATGCTTTTAATCCCAGCACTTGGGATGCAGAGGCAGGTGAATCTCTCTGAGTTCAAGGTCAGCCTGGTCTAAATAGTGCGTTCCAGGCCAGGCCAGCTGGGGCTACTGGGAGACCCTGTCTCAAAAAAAAAAAAAAAAAAAAAAAAAAAAGCAAACTTAAGCACTAAAATATAGAAATTTTAAGGTAAGGTTGCCAGAAATGGAGGAGAGTTGACTTTTCTCTGAACAAAGACTTCTTTTTACAGTTTCCATGGAGACAAATTTAGATAAATTATATTTACCCATTAATGTAGAAGAGCTGTCAATTAAGAAATAAGCCCACGCACTGAATCTGGGTTGTTATACACCCTTCCTGAAAACCACAACTGTTTCATCTGCAAGAAGTACAAGTTTCCCCACCTTAAAGTTCCCCTGATCCATTCATTTACCAAAATAAAAAACGAAATGTGAAAATAAACATTCCTGAAGAAACTACAGTACTTGCTTTTAGGTGACTTTAGAAATTAAGAAAGGCAGTGTGTGAAGCCAGGCTGTGCTACATCAGCAGTGTAGCTAGATGATAGAAAAGAAGAAAAAGACACAGGGAGATGGGAAGGGGAGAGAGCAGAGAAACAGAGGGAAGGAGGAAGGACAAAAAACACTAATTTGGAGGTGAAACCACTGAGCAGCATATTAGTATCTTCTGAGCTTAGCTGTAGATAATACTCTGACTAAAACCACCTAACAGGATTAAAATTGTTGCCTTTCACTATTTTCAGATTCTCCAGGGAAAGAGGTGTTTCATGTCATAAAAACTACAATGCTAGCTATTCCTGGAATAGGAACTGAAAAAGAAGTCCTAAAACCTACTAGTCAGTAACTTTCCTCAAGATTTACAGAACCTAGGAGATCTGATGGTCTTCATAACATCAAAGTGAGGACCTAGCACTTGCTCCAAATGAAGCACAGGCAGGCCGGGAGAAAAGGCATAGGGAGGCTTATGAGAAAGGCACTACTTTTGCCTTCAGAAAGCAAGTCACTACTTTTGATCTTTTCTACATCTGACCTAACATTCTCAGGACAATTAAGTAGAAGAGCAGACCCCTACCTCAACCTGACTGTATATTTACTAAATATAGTGATACATGATTACCTCTCCTGTGCTTATAAAGACCATTACAACCTTTTCTTCGGAATATTTTTCAAGGAAACTTGAATCCGTTCCTCCACCTAAGTCACTCATATATTGCACAGAATAACTTGTTTTGAGACAGTGCCTTTCTATGCAGCCCAGGTTGACCTGGAACTTTCTATTTAGCACAGCACGGGGCAGGCCTCAAACTCGTGCCTCAGTCTCTAGAGTATGGAATTACAGTAATGAGTCATCAGCACCCCTGGCTTTTAGGATCTGCTATTGTGGGGGAGAGGGGGTGGCTGGAACTCAATGGCCTTGTGCATACTAGGCAAGCATTTTACCACTGTAGATCCCCAGCCCTTATTTTACCTAAATCAGAATTGATATTTTTGTCTACACACAAATTCATGTTCTTAAAGCACCATATGCATTATTTTAAAGAAATGGAATAAGTTACAGAGGTGTAACTGTTCTAAGCAGGGTAAATGATGCGTTTCCTGTTATCTTTATGTCACCTCTAAACATTTTCCATTTTAAAAGCTATGCTGAAGAAAACCGTTAAGACCGGGTACATACTAGGTTAGTCCTGTACTCCTGAGCTAAGCCCCGAGTTTTCAAAACCATGTGTGGAACTGGAAGCCATTCTTTTTTTTTTTTGATTTTATTTTTGTTTTTTTTTTTTGTCTTTTTGAGAGAGTGTCTCCCTGTAGCCTCAGCTGCCCTGGAGCTTGCTATGCAAACTAGGCTGGCCTTGAACCCACTGAGATTCATCTGCCTCTGCCTCCCAACTGCTGGGATTAAAGGCGTGCGCCACCACGCCCAACCTGGAAGCCATTCTTAAGGACAAGATATAACCTACCAGTTCCAAACGTCCCAGATCTAACGTTTCCTGTTCGCTCAGTCTCAGTGCTTGTCTAACTACAAGGGACTTGCCTACGGTTCCCCCTCAATACCCGGCACCCGGCCTACTTCCTGCCTTGCGCAGAGAGGCCTAGAAGGAGATCTGCTGCGCATGCCCGTCGCTCACCGCCTCTCTGAAGTGGCGGATGTATGACGTCACCGGCAGTCTGGCTAGCTCAGCAACCGGCGGGAGTTTTTCAAAATGGGTGTGCAGAGGCGCCGCCCAGGCCTCCGGAGGTGCCGCCTGGACCTTTCCGAGGCGTTGGCGGCGTTGCCGGCGGCGGCCTAGAGAGGACAGCCTGATGGGCGCCAAGACTGGTCGGCTGCTCGGAGCGCTGCCTCAGAGGGACTGCGGGACAGCCCAGCCGGGGGACCCGAGCGGCTGGGGAACATGGCGACGTGCATCGGGGAGAGGATCGAGGTAAGGCGGGCGGGGGACGCCGAGCGGCTGGGGAGGGGCGGGCGGGCAAAATGCTGAAGGCGGATCGAGGTGAGGCGGGCGGGGAGGCTCGGTGCTGAGGGGTGTGAGCGGTGGATGTCGGTGAGGTGGGATGGCCGGGTGCTGGGGGCGGAGCGGCCCGCCCCTGGGAGCACCGCCTGGGAGCGCGCCACCGCGAGCAGATGTCGCGTCCAGCTGTGGCCGGGGCCCTGCCCCTGTCCCTTCCCCGCAGATTCCTGACCCCTCTCCCGCCCGGGCTGCCGCGCTCTGGGAGCAGCGCCGCCCCCCTCCTCCCCAGGGGCGGCGGTTACCGCGGCGGGAGCGGCGGCGGGAGAGGGGGAGAGGAGAGGAGGGGGCCGAGCTGACGCTGCGCCGGGCTCAGCAACAACTTGTTAGGGTGCAACTTGTGAGGGTGCTTGGTCTCAAGCCCGCTGGAGCCCAGGGAGTCCCGCAGAGCGTCAAGATGCCCTCCACCCCAGGCACCTGCATCGAGGTGTGATGCCTGCTTGAACTTTGTAAAATTTCCCTTCCTGTCCCATTTTATCCTCTTTATTCCGGCCCTTACCCGTCTTTCTTACTTTCTAATCCGGTGAGTCATCACATATAATCTTTAATTTTTAAAGGATTTTAAGGTTGGAAATCTGCTCGGTAAAGGATCATTTGCGGGCGTCTACAGAGCTGAGTCCATTCACACTGGTTTGGAAGTTGCAATCAAAATGGTAAGAATGTATTAGTGAACATTTCCTGTACTTTGCCAGGAAATGCAGAGGCATGCTAATTTAAAATGTCAAATTTATCTACCAGCCTTTTCCCTCCTCTGTCCCTCTCTCTCCTTTCTCCTCTCTGTTCTAGTGTGTGTGAAAAAAAACATTGCATAGCCAAAGACAATGGTCATGGGTGCAGCAGTTGAGCTTAAAGATTTATTTAAGAAACAGTTAACCTTGCTTAAGTAAGGGTTTTATCTTCATTAGTGTTCACTGGACCAGGTATGTGTTGTTATTAATACTTAAGGTAGTGGGTAGAAATCAAACCATTTCTTTATAATAATAATACACTTATGTATAGCTCTATCATAATCCATTATTATTCAGCATATTGATCTCTGCCTGTAATCTCAAGACTGAAGAGTTAGAGGAGGATCAGAAGCCCAAGGCCAGCCTCTGCCTTGACATAGTGAGATTGAAGCAAGCCTATGTTACATGAGATGAGAGAGATATTAAGGAATAAAATAGAATTGATTGTTAGAATAAGTTTTATAGAAATATAAACATATACAAATAAGAATTATTTCACTAGCTGGCAATATAGGTCAGAGGGAGAGAGCACTTGCTTAGCATGCATAAAGCCCTGGGTTCCCTCCCCAATACAAAAGAATTATTTATCTAAACCAGCTGGAAAGGAAAAGGAAATTTTGTTTTAAAGCTTGACTAAATTTAGAATTTCTTAAAGATAGGATGGTTGTACTTTTATTTAAGTTAAAAGAGGATATTAAAATGCGTTGGACGTACTGAGCATCTACTCTGCCATCCACTCTGCTAGGTGCAGGGATGAGGAGTAGAGAACAGTAAGTTGACTTCAAAGACAAATACAAAAGGACTTCAGACAGTTTTTAAAAGTTTACTTTTAGCAGTTTCATGTTTGAGAGTTTATCAATTATGTTTAATAGAATGCTTTCTTCTAACATACACAAAGCCCTGGGTTCAATTCCCAGCACCATAAAAATAAAAAAAAACGTGGCCTCTCTTATTTTCAGATAGATAAAAAAGCTATGTACAAAGCTGGGATGGTGCAGCGAGTCCAAAATGAGGTGAAAATACATTGCCAGTTGAAACACCCTTCCATTTTGGAGGTAAGGATAAGGTGTATAGAACTAGTTAAGAAAGGTGAGTGTATATTATAATTTACTATGCTCTTTCCCCTTTCAGCTTTATAATTATTTTGAAGATAACAATTATGTGTATCTGGTATTAGAAATGTGCCACAATGGAGAAATGAACAGGTACCTAAAAAATAGAATGAAACCTTTCTCAGAAAGTGAAGGTAGGTTTTTTTCCCTTTTTTTTCTTTACTTTTTTTTGGAGGGGGCACTTTTTGTTTGTTTGTTTGGGGTTTTTGTTTGTTTTGTTTGTGCTTTTGAAAATGTCCTTTTTTTTTTTTTTTAATTTTATGTGTATGCATGTCCTGCCTGCATGTAGACAAGTGCACCCGTGTCGTGTAGTGCCCGCAGAGGACAGAAGAGGCTGTCAGATCCCCTGGAACTGGAGTTACGGACAGTTGTTAGCTGACATGTGGGTGCTGGGATTCGAACCCAAGTCTCATGCAAGAATAACCAGTGTTCTTAACTGCTGAGCCATCTCTCCAGCCTGAAAATGTAATATTTAGGAAAAAAATATTTTGTAATATTTAGGAAAAAATTTTTTAAAGATTTGTGTCTTAAATCATGTGTATGTATATGACTGCCGTGTGTGCGCATGTGTGAGTGCAGGTGCCTGAGAAAGCCCAAAGTGCTTGGAACATAACTTGGGTCTTCTACAAGAGCAGTACATACGTCACATTGCTGAAGCATGTCTCCCACCTCAAGTGAAGCTATTTCAATTGTTACTTTAGCCTATAAAAAGAGGCCCTTCAAAAGCTGGAACTTCTTAGAAACCAAATATTACACAAGAGTAATACATTTCTTAGCTTTCTTCTGTCCTCCAAAACGTTTTAAGTTAAATCACTGTTAGCAATTTACTATATATCCTTTCAAATTTGGAAAACTTTTTAGACTAGTTTCTAAATCAAGCACAAGTAAACATTGAAGCCATTTACTACTTCAAAATACCCTGGGGAGTAAGCATCTAAATGATTCCATACTTTAAGAGGTCAAGTCATAAGCTAAAGGAGCTTCAGTGTAGTAGTCTACATGTTCCACATTTTTATAGTAAATTTAAAGTGTACCTAAAAAGTAAAGGATAATTAAATAAGAAACTAGAGAATATGAGAGTGTTCACAAAAGAGAAAATTCAGATAACCAGTAAACATGAGAAGATGCTCAGATTCAATAGGAGTGACGAAAAACTGATGAAATTATTTCCGTACCATTTTTTTTAATGTTAGAAACATTTCTCTCTCTTATTTTTTTTTTTTAATTTATTTAATTTTTTTGGTCTTTTTGAGGCAGGGTCTCCTTGTAACCCCAGCTGGGCTAGAACTCATTATGTAGACCAGTCTGACAGAGATCCACCTGCCTCTGCCCTGGCATGGGCCACCACGCCCAGCCTAGAAACATTTCTCATAATGTGATTTTGTGTGTGTGTGCATACGTGCAAGACAAAAAATTCAATATGCCGGGCATGGTGTCACACACTTTTAATCCCAGCACTTGGGAAGCAGAGGCAGGCGGATCTTTGTGAGTTCGAGGCCAGCCTGGTCTACATAGTGAGTTCCAGTACATTTGGGGCTACAGGGAGACCCTGTCTCAAAAAGACAAGAAAACAAAAACAAAAAAATTCAATATATGAAATGTTTAAAGTGGGGCCTGGGGAGATGGCTCGGTGTATGAAGCTTTTGCTTAAGCAAGTGTGAAGATCAGAGTTCAGACCCTTAGCACACCTGTGTGTTACATGTACTGGGTGGATATGGTGACCTTCCTATAATTCCAAGAATTTCAGAGCTCGAGAGAGGATCCCCCAAGCAAGCTGACTAGGTAAACTAGCAGAATGAGTTCTGGGTTCATGTGAGAGACCCTGCCTTAATGTATAGGTAGTTATAGAAGACACTGAACATCAACCTGTGGTCTCCCAAGTACATGTACCTGCTCACACATAAGTGAATATGCATACATGTGCACACCACAGACACATGTACATGCCAAAAATATTTACAGTAAATATTTTGGGGTGGGGGGGAGTTTGGGAGACAATAAAGAAGCTTTTTTGCTTTTTTATAAGTATATATTTATGAATTTTTTGTATAATTATAAATTTCCTTAATTTGTGTACATACGGTTACCCTAACACCTTCAGCTGTAAAATTTAGCTTCTCTTACCTTTGTAGAAACTTCATCAGATGGAAAGGACAAAAATTAAAAGGAGTGAGGCAGAGGCAGGTGGATCTCTGTGAGTTAGAGGCTAACCTGATCTACATAGTGAGTTTCAGGGCAGCTGGGGCTTCAGGGAGACCCTGTCTCAAAAAGACCCCAAAAAAGTAGTGCTTGGTTTTCTTCCAGGGAATCAGATAATGTATCACCAGAGTGGTTATTGGGTTGATAAATCTAAGGTGCATGCAGTATTTTAATGTAATACTCTGGTATATAAACTTGGGGTTTATAGTGTATTCCAAACAACATTGAACCTTACAGATTTTTTGAATTCTGAGTTTTCTTTTCTTCATCGTCACAGCTCGTCACTTCATGCACCAGATCATCACAGGACTGTTGTATCTTCATTCTCATGGCATATTACACCGGGACCTCACACTCTCTAACATCTTACTTACTCGTAATATGAATATAAAAATTGCAGATTTTGGACTGGCAACACAATTGAAAATGCCACATGAAAAGCACTATACACTTTGTGGGACTCCTAATTACATATCACCAGAAATTGCAACTAGAAGTCCACATGGACTTGAATCTGATATTTGGTCATTAGGATGTATGTTTTATACATTACTGATTGGTAGACCACCTTTTGATACCGATACAGTCAAGAACACATTGAATAAAGTAGTATTGGCAGATTATGAAATGCCAGCTTTTTTGTCAAGAGAGGCCAAGGACCTTATTCACCAGTTACTTCGTAGAAATCCCGCAGATCGGTTAAGTCTGTCTTCAGTGTTGGACCATCCTTTTATGTCCCAAAATCTTTCAGCAAAAAGTAAAGACTTAGGGACTGTAGAAGACTCAATGGATAGTGGACATGCCACAATTTCCACAATTACAGCTTCTTCCAGTACCAGTGTAAGTGGTAGTTTACTTGACAGAAGAAGACTTGTGATTAGTCAACCACTTCCAAATAAAATGACTGTTTTTCAAAAAAAAAATTCAAGTGACTTTTCTTCTGGAGATGGAAGCAGTTTTTGTACTCAGTGGGGAACCCAAGAACAAGAAACCAGTAATAGTGGCAGAGGAAGAGTAATCGAAGATGCAGAAGAAAGGCCACATTCTCGATACCTGCGTAGAGCTCATTCCTCAGACCGATCCAGCAATTCTACTCAGTCTCGGGCAAAAACTTACTCAATGGGAAGATGCCACTCAGTAGAGATGCTTTCAAAGCCCAGAAGATCACTAGATGAAAACGAAGAGCAGTACTCACCTACCAACAATAATGTCAATGTTTTTAACTTCTTTCAAGACAAAATAGCCAGTAGTTGTGGATCTTTTGAAAGACCTGATAAGGACCAAACAGGGTAAGGATAAATGTATTCAAAGGATTTTGTTTTCTGGTAAACATTGTACTAGCGCAAATATGAAGCTGCACCTAAATAAGATTTATGAAAATGTAGATGTTTGTCAAACTAGGATTTTTGAGCTGAGCATGATGGAACAGGTTAGTAATCTCAGCACTTGGGAGGCAGAGGCAGGAGGATCATGCAATTGAAGCCAGCATAGGTTGATAACAAATAACAAATTTGTCATTTAATTTGGTTATGGTCTCCTAAAAATGAGTGTAGGCTGGTGATAAGCTTAGTGGCGTAGCAGTTGCATGTACAGTACCCTCAGTTCAGTCCTCAGCCCTGCAAAATATATATTCATAAATGGGGTTTATAGCATGTGTTTAATTTCTGAAAATATGTAGTTTTAAAATTTTATTTGGAACAGTTCTCTAACACGTGCCATTATCAAACATGAACTCTAATGTGTGTAGAGGAAAGCTGAACCTGAGTGAGGAGCAGCAGTGGTACCAACTGCTTCTAATATAAAAAGAGTTTTTTTTAAAGTGCCTAGTTTTGTTTTGTTTTCTTTTGTCTGATCTTTTGTATGTTTGAATTTAAAAATTATAAATCATAAAAAGAGCAGTAGCCATAGCTGGGCATAGTGGTGCACACCTTTAATCCCAGCACTCAGGAGGCAGAGGCAGGTGGATTTTTGTGAGTTCAAGGCCAGCCTGGTCTACATAGTGAGTTCCAGGACAGCTGGAGCTACAGGGAGACCCTGCTTCAAAAACAAAAACAAAAAAAAGAGCAGTAGCCATATAGGGATGAAATAGTGCTATGGCATTTTGGCATAGGAATTTTAAAGATGGCTTAGTTATGTAAATATTGTTTTCTACACTTATTCTAAAATTTCAGGTGTTTAAAATTCTTTTTCTAGTATTTCTATCTCAAAATATTGTCTAGGGAGTAAGAATTAGCTCTGACAGAGCATGTTTGAGACACTGGGTTCTGTCTCCAACTCCCCTACCTTAACTGCCCTCCCTCCCCCGAATATAAAGGTTGCCTGATAATTTTTTACTGTTTTATGGGATTTTTTCCCCCTTAGTTCCAACCGTCATTGTCCAGGAAAAGCTTTGCCATTTTCAGACCAGACACCTCAAATGGACATGGTACAACAGTGGTTTGGGAATCTGCAAATAAAAGGTAAGTTTTTAATGAAATATTTAATTATATCTTAACCCAGATACCTGCTAAACATTGCAGTTTTCTGTTTGTGTTAACTAAGAAAATATTTTCAGTAAATTTCAATGAAACTATTCCAATAATAAACTGATGACATATCACCTACATCATTAATAGCTAATGTATATGATTAGTTTATTAATTTTTTATTAAAAATAGAAGAAAACCATTTATACCTGAATGGTATATATGTTAATTGTACATAGAACTCAATTTGCTCCTGGAGTCAGTGATTAAGTAGAGGAGCCAAGAGTCTTAACCCAAGTAGTCCTGGCTCAGGCTTTACCTTGAAGCCTTCTGTTCTGGTTTTCCCTTTGTCAAAAACACCTGTTATCAGTGTCCACAAAGTAAGCCAAAAGATACTTGATCTAATTTGTAAGTAGAAGCTGCTGATACGGGAATTTTAGTCTGCCAACAAAACCTTACATTGAGATAAACAGCTAAAAGAACCTAAACATTTTAAGTAGCTCTCCTCAGGATGTAATTAAAGAGTAGAGATCAAGTCACCCTCATTAAAGACTGATATTCACAGAAGGTGGGTGAGATATAGTGATGAGAAAAGAGAATTCAAAGACAGCATATGGAGAGGAGGAGGAGATCATGTTTCACTAAGTATTGTCTCCAGAGTGCAGAATATGGCTGTAATTAAGTAGAGGATTTTTTTAAAGAGATGTATGATTTTCAGAACCCTAAAAGAGAACTAATCTAACCATTTGTACTTTGGTAACTTGTTTATTTTTAACTGTAAAACTGCCCTGTACATAATCTTGTACTCTAGTGTTTATTTATAGGTGTGTTTATTTGGTAATACGGACTTGTCTGAGATGGTGAAATAGTCTTTTAAGTCACGCTGCTCTAATTTTAAAGTATCTTACTTAAGGGACTGGAGAGAGATGAGTCAGCAGTTAAGAGCACCAACTGCTCTTGCAGAGGACCTGGGTTCGATTCCCAGCACCCACATAGAGGCTAACAACCATCTGCAACTTCAGTTTTGGGATCCAACGCTCTCTTCTGACCTCAGAGGGCATTGCATGACATGGGCGCACCTATCTATATGCAGGCAATACACTCATACACAGAAAAAACAAATTTTTTTTTTAGGTTTAAAGTATCTCACTTGATAGAAAGTATTTTCCCAGGCCAGCCGTGGTGGCGCACACCTTTAATCCCAACACTCAGGAGTCAGGGGCAGACAGATATCTCTCTGAATATGAGGCCAGCCTGGCCAATGGAGTATTTTCCAGGCCAGTCAGTGCTGCATAGTGAGACCATGGAAAGGTTTCACTGGAAAGAAAATATTTTCTGTTGTAATGGCATTTGGAGGACAAGAAGCCTTAATGAGTCATTTTTTTAAAAATTGAATAAAAAAAATTCTAAGAGTTCAATATTGAAAAATAAGAATTCTGTATAATCCATCTAAGGCCTTTTTAAAACTAAGAACTGGACATGGTAACCCATTCCTCTAATCCTAGCACTTAGAAGGCTGAGGCAGGGACTGTGACTTCCAGTTTATCTAGGGTACATAAGTAAAAACCCTGTCGCAAAAAAATAGAAATGAATATGATAATTAAAATTTACCTTAATGAGTTTTCTATAATTATTTAAGACCCCTTAAAAATGATAATGTAGGCTAGAGAGATGATTCAGCAGATAAGAACACTGATTGCTCTTGCAGAGGACCCAGGTTTGATTCCCAACACCCACATGGCAGCTAACAACTGTCCTTAACTCCCAGTTCCAGGTGATCCAACACCCCCTTCTGATGTCTGCAGACATTGCATGACACAGGTGCATTTACATACATACAGTCAATAAACTCATACACATAAAAATAAAAAATGACAACATGAGCTCTAAAATCATGTAAAATATAAATTGATAAAATTTAGCAGAACTTTTTAAATATCTTGGTACAAATACATTTGTAATATTAAGTACTGGTGACATTAAAGCTAGTCAGTGTTTATGCTTTTAGTTGCACATTTTCTAAGTCTTTAACTTAGAAAATGATTTTTCAGAATGGGATAATCCTTAGCTTAAAGAGAGGAAGTTTATATATTTTTCTTATGTAGAATGATTATTTGGGAACTCATGAAAACTGCTTTTGTTGAGATATTGGATTTCTTTAGACATAGTAACTAGTTTTTGCTTTGATTGAAAAAGTCATTGCATATTAGTATAGTTTTTGTGGTCTTAGGAATATTAAAGGTATTTCCTCAATCTACCTTAAAGTGTTCTTTTAAAGTTACTACTGTCTTTTTATGTCATTATCTTAAAGTTCTTATTTATTAAAAAGTTAGGAACTGATTTTCCTGATACTTTTTAAAAATAAATTTTTTTTTTTTTTTTTTTTTTTTTTTGAGACAGGCTGTAGCCCCAGCTGTCCTGGAACTCACTATGTCGACCAGGCTGGCCTTGAACTCACAGAGATCCTCCTGCCTCTGCCTCCCAAGTGCTGGAACTACAGGCATGCGCCACCACGCCTGGCTTTAAAGATAAATTTTATTGTATATGTTTAAGATGTACAGTAATGTTACACATATATAGGAAAATGCTTATTGTGCAAAAAATTAGCATATTTATCATCTCACATAATTATACATTCCTCCCCCATTGGGAAGAGCAGCTACAATTTATTGATTTCAAGAGACTACTGAATATGATACACTAATGTTTTTTAGACTTCTTGTTTTAAGAAAATGCTATTATAATCAGCACATTATTTTACTTTCTAGTTTTTATTAAACTAGTTTTTTCAATGTGTATTATAATTATAGCTCATTTAGGACAAACTACTCAGCATAACACGATTAGCCCAAACAAGGACTTCCAGGGCTATCCAGATTTGCAGGACCCATTAAGAAATGCTTGGACTGATACAAGAGCCAGCAAGAACTCTGACCCATCTGATAATGTACATTCTGTAAAGCAGCTGAATACCATGAAGTACATGACCGGACATCACAGTAAACCTGAAATCATGCATCAAGAACCCATTGTGGGCTTGCATCCCCATTCTGAACCAGTCAAGACTAGGAATATGGAGTCATCATTGGGTTACCAGAAACAGAGCTTACGAAGCATTACTTCTCCTTTGATTGCTCACAGATTAAAACCAATCAGACAGAAAACCAAAAAGGCTGTGGTATGTCTATTATTTTTCTAAGTTACTGTTTGACATTTTCTTTGGTATGGAATTCTTGAGAAATGGTATTTCTAGTTTCCTATTATGTCTGTGGACTTTGAGGTATTGCTTGATAAGCGAGAAAAAATATTACTTGCTTCCTCTCTAGTTTGGGGGTTGTTATTTGGGGGTTTTTTGTGTTTTTGAGACAAAGTTTTTGGTCAGGTAGTCCAGACTTGCCTCACATTCATGATCCTTCCCTCTTAGTCTCAGGACTGCTGTGATCACAGGTGTGTACCACTTTTCCTAGTATTCCTTCTAGCTTTTTAAGAGTAGTAAGTTGATACTGATTAAGTTTGGAACTTTAAATTACTGATTTTTAAAGGTAGATTTAAATATAAGAAATTAAGAAATAATATTGGCCATATGCTTTGTTAAATTCTTTATTGACAACTTTAGTCAGTGAATTGATATTCAGTATTAGCCCTGTTGTTTAGCTTTTATTTCTACATTTAATTCAGTTCAACTCAGTATACAGCTTCATTTCTTTTTTTTTAAACAACCGAAAAGAAAAAGAATGAGCACTTTTATGTTTAGAATTTGACAAGTATATATGGGAATAACTTTCTTTTTAATCCATCTTCATTCTGTTTGTTCCTTGTTTCCCATGTTTCTCTGTCTTCCCTTTGTTTGGCTTCCTAGTGTCTTCAGAGTCCTGTTTCCTACCCTACGTTCTGCTTTATTTCGGCTCATTGTGTATCATTTCACACTTCATTACACATTCTCAACTTTACCTTCTGGCTCACACTTGTACTCAAGTACACCTGTGTTCAAGACACTTGAAGTGAAGCAGTAATTGGATTTTTGACTTCAGTATTTATTTCTGCTGTGATTGAGTACTTTTCTCTTTAACTATTGTGTGCCAGAGATATTCTAATAAATATTTAAATTGATTTTTGTTTTTTCTCGAGGTGAGCATCCTTGATTCAGAGGAGGTATGTGTGGAGCTTCTGAAAGAGTATACATCTGAAGAGTATGTGAAAGAAGTTCTTCAGATATCTAGTGATGGGACTATGGTAATGTCACTATCTTAAAACTAAAGGTTATCACTTTAAACATTTAGCATTCCAGTTCATTTTACAGTATGGTATGTTAATCTGTTAGCATCTTTGGATTCGCAAATTGAAATTCATACTAAGCATATTAAGTATTATTAATGTGGTTTTTAAAAATAATTACCAGAGGCAAATGGATTTCTGAGTTCAAGGCCAGCCTGGTCTATATAATGAGTTCCAGGCCAGCCCCACTACAGAGAGACCCTGTCTCAAAAAGACCAAAAAAGTAATAAATAAAAATAATTAGTAGACCTGGGCTGTAGTAGCTCAGTGGTAGAGCACTAGCCTAGCATGCATGATGCTCTGAGTTCAGTTCTTAACTACTGCCAGAAGTAAATAAAAATAAATATAACTAGTAACAAAATCTAAAGTTTGGGTATAAAATACTATTTTAATACTTCCCTGAAAATTAATGTTTTTCCTAAAATTAATGTTTAATATTAAACCCTTTGTGTACTTTCTGTTAACAAAGTATAGTACCTAATGGCATACAGTTAAAAGTCTTAATTATTTTTTTTGTCAGATCACTGTTTATTATCCAAATGATGGAAGAGGCTTTCCTCTTGCTGACAGACCACCCTCACCTACTGACAACATCAGTAGGTACAGCTTTGACAGTTTACCAGGTATGTATGTTTACAAGGAAATCAGTTTACATAAAGTCTGTGTGGATAAATATGATTGTGAATATCTTGGTTTCAGGCTGTAGGTCATGGTCATATTTGGTAAGATCTGGTAGATTTTACTAATCCATTGTTTACTGTCCTATGCTGTGTGGCCATGAAACTGACTGAAATGTTAGTAATACAGCATGTAATCTGTGCACTTGTTTAGTTACTAATCTATCCATGATCATGTTCAAAATTTCAACATAGGATATCTATGTATATATCTAGTAAAAACTAGACACCTGAAATCCAGACGTTTGAAAAATTAGACATTTGAAGTCATTGCACTAATATGTGAATGATCATGTGTGATTGTGGCTAACTGAATTTAACTCTTTGTTAAGCTTCTGGAAATTGTGATTTGGAGAAATAAATACTGAATAGTGCAACTTGATTGGAGTCACTTTTAGAAACAAGAAAACTTTTCTAACCTTAACAGGAATTGATAGAGATACAACTGTGTTAAGTCAACTCTTTCTTAATGTTAGATAACTTTTTTCCCTTTAGAAAAATACTGGCGAAAATACCAGTATGCTTCCAGATTTATACAGCTTGTGAGATCTAAAACTCCCAAAATCACGTACTTTACAAGATATGCTAAATGTATTTTGATGGAGAATTCTCCTGGTGCTGATTTTGAGGTTTGGTTTTATGATGGTGAGTATACTACATGGCAAAATGTAGAATCTAAATTTATTTATTCCTTTTTTTTTCCTTTATTTTTATGTGTATGCGTGTATTGCATGCATATATGCAAGCGCATCCTTGTCGTGCAGTGCCTGGAAAGGACAGAAGAGGGTGTTGGATCCCCTGGAAATGGAGTTACAGATGGTTGACAGCCACCATGTGGGTGCTGGGAATCAAACCCAAGTCCTCTAAGAGCAGTCAGTGTTCTTAACCACTGTGCCATCTTTCTAGCTCCTAAATTTATTTCTATATGCCCTCCTATAAACAGTTTATAATAGTGGTTTTTATAATGCTAGTCGTCTGTGCCTCCTTAGCTCTGTATCGATTGATGGCATAAAAAAGACAAAAGTCTGTTTCTTATTAGAAACTCAAATGGATAAAGCCCATGTTAATGTGGCATAAAGATAGGATTTAACAGACAACCTCTTTCTGTGAATATTCGAGATGAATTACATTTTAACTGTAAATCTCCATGAAAGGTTCCCATGCACACATCAGAGCACACACTATTGTAGCTGTGCTCCACTTGTGTATGAGAGCAGTGACTTTATTCAAATGTCAGAAAGGTGTCAGAGCAGATATATGCCAGAAAAGAAAACAATGCCTCATATTTGCTGGTTTTTGAGAGTTTCAGTTTACTAATGATCAACAAATGAATATTATATTGTACTAGGATGACAATGAATATCAATCTAGGAATACATAAAGAACTGATAAAAGAGTACTTTTATGCTTATTTTTTAGGGGCCAAAATACACAAAACAGAAGATTTAATTCAAGTGATAGAAAAGACTGGGAAATCTTACACTTTAAAAAATGAAAATGAAGTTACTAGCTTAAAAGAAGAAATGAAAATATATGTGGACCAAGCTAATGAGGTAGTTACATACTTACGGGTTTTTCATCCAATTAATGACCACAGATTAAAGTAGTGAAATGTTCAATGTTGATGGAAAGCATTCCTTTTTGTAATAGGGTCATCGTATTTGTTTAGCGCTGGAATCTGTTATCTCAGAAGAGGAAAAGAAAAGTAGGAGTTCTTCGTTTTTCCCAATTATAGTAGGAAGGTAAATGTTTGAATTTTTTAACATGCCTAACATATGTAAGATACGTTTTTGAGAAGCAATTTGGTGTTTATATTATAAATGATCTTGAGAGTTGAACCATGATGACACAACCCTATAATCCAGCACCCAAGAGGTAGAGGCTGAAAGAGTTGGACGTTACCCTGTTTCAAAAAAACAATATAGGCAGCCTGGCATGGTGGTTCACGTTTTTAATCCCAGCACTCAGGAGGCAGAGGCAGGCGAATCCTTGTGAGTTGAAAGCCAGCCTGATCCACAGTGAGTTCCAGGCCAGCTGGGGTTACAGAGAGATCCTGTTTCAAAAAGACCAAAAAAAAAAAAAAAAAAAACTATAGGATCAATGAGAGGATCCAGTGGGTAAAAGTGTTTGCTCCAACTTAACAACTTGAGCTTGATCCTTGAAACCCAAGTAAAAGTGAAAGGGAGAACCAACTCCACAAACTTGTCCTCTGACCTCCACTCTGGGGCATATGTACACCTACACATTCACATCACCCTCCCCTTTCCCTGTGCACACGTGCTCACACACACAAGTATATGAATAAAAATTTTAAAACTAAATGTTTAGTTTTCTTTAGGTTAAAAGTTTTAAGCAACTGTATTGGGATATTTCTCTTTCCTTCAGAAAACCTGGCAATACTAGTTCACCTAAAGCCTTATCACTACCTCCCATGGACCCAAGCTACTCACAGAGAGACCAACCATCATCGAATAGATTGATGGCAAACAGTGTGGCTTTTTCAACACAGGCACCAATACTCAATCCTGTGAGTAAATACATGTCACTTATGTACTTTAGACCCTTCAGTGATACCTAGAGCCTTTATGTAAAATTAAGATGTAGAGTTAGTAACACATATCCCTGTTTAGCATGTGCAGTTCCCTGGGTTAGATATTCAGCACCACACAAAAAGCAAAGAAAGATGTCTTGCTGTTCCAGCCTCTTTCTGAGCTACTTTCCCATACTATCTGCTTGAACCTCAGGCTTATATTAGCTCTTTGGACAAGACAAAGGACCTTTTACATGCTATCAACTGCCTTACTGCCTGCAATAGGCTCATGGTTTAATATACAGGTATTTATTCAGTGAATTACCATGCCAATGGAGACTGTCTATGGAAAAGAATATAATGTTTAAGAAACTAGTCTGTATCTCTATGCCCAGACATCTATACATACTCTGATTTACAGCTATGAAAAAATGTTTTAGAGATGAAAGAAGTGTACCAAAATGAAAACAAAAAATATGATTTGCTTTCCCTTTTTTGTATTTTCCTTACTTTCAATAATGTGGTATCTTAAAAGTAGTTTTTCTTTTTAGAAAATTTTATTTAAACTCATGAAAATCCAGTAATCTTATACTGAAAATGGCTTATCTTCCACTACTGTTTGTAGAATACTACAACTGAAGGACTTGGCCATACAACTACAGCCCCAGGAGCTAGCTTCTCCTCTCCAAGTCTTCCTAAGTCTGCACAGCTTTTGAAATCTGTTTTTGTGAAAAATGTTGGTTGGGCTACACAGGTGAGAAATTTCTATGAATTGCTTGGTCTTCACAGTGATTAAACAACTATCCAATAATGTAAAAGTTTTGGCCTTTAAAAAAAAATTTTTTTTTGCAATTTTTATTTTATGTGTTTGATTTTATTGTCTTCATGTAGGTAGGTAGCTGCACCCATGTCATGCGGTGCCCTTAGTGGTCAGAAGAGGGCATCGGATACCCTGAAACTGGAGTTAAGGATGGTTCATAGCCGCCATGTGGGTGTTGGGAATTGAACTTGGGTCCTCTGCAAGACAGTCAGTACTCTAACCACTGAGCCATCTCTCTAGCCCCAGTAGTTGTTTTTAAAACTGCTAGTGGGTTGAGGTTGATGGCACATGCCTAGGATCCCTGTAACCAAGAAGCAGAGACAGGCATGAGATTGATGCAAGTCTAGGATACCTGGTGAAGCCTGTCTTCAATACTAAATGAGTGAATAAAATTATACAGAACACATGTCAGTTAAGTTCTTAAGTCGACTTCTGTATAGTCATTTTCTATGCTTGCTTTTCTAGCTAACTAGTGGAGCTGTGTGGGTTCAGTTTAATGATGGTTCACAATTGGTCGTACAAGCAGGAGTATCTTCTATCAGTTATACATCACCAAATGGTCAAACTACTAGGTAAGTTCTTGCTATAATTTTGCTTTCTCTGTATGTTGAAATAAATGATTTAAAAAATATTGTTAGCCAGGCGTTGTGGTGCATGTCTTTAATCCCATCACCCAGGAGGCCAAGGCAGGCAGATCTCTGTGAGTTCAAGGCCAGCCTGGTCTACATAGGGAGTTCAGACCAGCTGGGGCTATAGGGAGATCCTGTCTCAAAAAGACCAAAAAAATAAGAATAAAAAACAGGGTCGGGTGTGGTGGCGCACGCTTTTAATCCCAGCACTCAGGATGCAGGTGGATCTCTGTGAGTTCGAGGCCAGACTGGTCTACAGAGCAAGTTCCAGGCCAGCTGGGGCTGCAGGGAGACCCTGTCTTAAACAGACCAAAAAATAATTAAAAAACTATTATTTTGACCAGGAGGCAGAGGCAGGCAGATCTCTGATTTCAAGGCCAGCCTCGTCTACATAGAGTTCTAGGCCAGCTGGGGCTATAGGGAGACCTTGTCTCAAAAAGACCAAACAAAAACCCCACAATGTTTTGGTAATTATTTCCACTGTTCATTATTACTAGCAGGTTTTTTTTTTTTTTTCCTGGAACTCACTGTGTAGACCAGGCTGGCCTTGAACTCACAGAGATCCGCCCGCTTCTGCCTCCCAAGTGCTGGGATTAAATGCATGCGCCACCACACCTGGCATAGCAGTTCTTAATTTTTAATACTCATGTTGTGATTATCTACCTGAATGTTGGATAGGTGGTATGAATAATCTACCCATAGTCCTCTCAAGCGGTAGAATTCCTTTGCATTTGAAGTTCACACAGTTTACCTATGATAAATGCTCAAGCACTGCAAAACACAGGAATTCTTCCATCATAACAGTAAGAAAACAGCACAGCATACCCAGAGCTGTTGTCACTGGCCCAGTAATGAACCTCCTTTGATATATGCAGAAACATTAGGGAGGGGAGGGGGCAGATAACCTGTCCCAGCATTCCAGCAACAGCTGTCTAATCAGTCTGCTCCCAGGATGCTATTGTCCTTAAGGGACAAGTGGGGACAGGGGTCACTACATATGCCTTTGTCAGCTGATTTATAGCAGCATGTTTTAAACCTATTAGAATTGTGGGGTACAGCTTAAAAAACATTGTAGTAAGTAAGGGATAATAATAATAGTAAAAGAATAGTTATAGCTGGTCTCAGCAATAGGTGAATCCAGGAAGACCAGTCAGGCTAGATCCGGGCTATGCCTTTATGAATTTTATCATTTTTTTAAAATTTGGTCTAACTGTTGTTGAATAATATTGGCATTGATATATATCACAGAATGCAAGAAATCTGGTGGGGGGTCAGTGGCTATGAGAGATGTGCAGATAAGGGAGGTGGTCTAAATATGAAAAAGATGTATAAAATTTACAAAAATTAAAATTGTACTGAGTATATACAGAATTTTTTTTCTTGTTATTTTCTAAATAGTACACTATGGATAGAAGATTGACATTGTATTTGGCATTACAAATACTTGGGGAAATGTATGGGCTATATGCAAATGCTGTGCTATTTTATACAAGAGATTTGAGCATCCCTCAGTTTTACTATCATGGAGGGTTCTGGAACCCATGCCATGAGAATTCCAAAAGACCAACTATATTCATTCTGTATGAATATATGTATCAGGCATCATACAGAAAATAAGGTATCTGGCAATAGCAAGAACAGGCAGTTATTTTGTTTCCATATGTAACCCTTAATTTATTAAAAGGAGGTAGAACATTTACAGTGCTTAAACGTGCTCTTCACGCTGAGAAGTACCTATTGCATTTCAAATGCTGTAGGAAGTGGGCTGATGCACATGTAACATGAGTGGAATGTCGAGATCAGAAGAATTTGTTAATATTTAATGGGAAAATGTTCATAATTTTAGTGTAATATTTTTAGAGTTAAGGACTTTAATGAGGAATCTGGATTTATAGCTCCCTGTAGGAATTATAAAATCAGTTCCATTTTCTAGATTTCTTCTTATTTAAATATGTCTAAAATTTGATTTTTAAAAGAAAAACAATCTGGGTATGTATCACATGATACAGGAATCCTAGTAAGAGTATATGTTCTTGAGATACCTTTTATCATTAAAGAATTATTAGAGAATTTCTACTTTGGGGTATTCTATAAGAACCAACTAATGAAGTTTGTGTTTGTTTGTTTTTTGCTTCATTTAGGTATGGAGAAAATGAAAAATTACCAGAGTACATCAAGCAGAAATTACAGTGTCTTTCTTCCATCCTTCTGATGTTTTCTAATCCAACTCCTAGTTTTCATTAATTAAAGCTTTCAGATATCTGCATTTAATAAATAACTTTTTGGTTGGCTTTCAAGTAAAGTGATTTTTTTTTTTAAATTTACTATAACTTCAGAAAGCCTTTGTATTAAGCAGAATTTTAATCTATTCTGTAAGAATAGAATATATGCTGAGAACAAAATAGAATGAAATTTTCGTTCCCAAATATAGTGGATATAAAAACACCTAATTTTTTTCCAAGTACATAATATCCTTAAGCTTTTTGTATCGAACAATTTTTTTCAGAGCAAAAATTTTAAGTGGTGTGTGGTGTATTTGTGCTTTTATTGTTTACTGTTTAGGCATATTGAAAATCATGGATAAAACATGCCCTAGTTTTGCAATTTTTGAATATGTAAATAATGTATTATATATAAGTAACATGTAAACATGTATATTTGTTTTATATTTATTTTTGTAGCACTTTTTTGTGTGATAAAGCATTTCTACGAAAGCATTTTATAAAATAATAAATACAGTGATATTACTTTATCTTTTGATTTATTTGATTAAATACTTGTTTTAAAATAGGTTACTGTAATTTTTTTTTCAATTTTTTCTGTTTAGGAAGAACAAATTAGAATTAAAATTTTAGTCTTGTAAATAAAATATTAAACATCAATACTCTTATATGAAAATGTCAGTATTTTAGCGTAAGCATTTTTTTTTTTTTTTTTTTTTTGGTCTTTTTGAGACAGGGTCTCCCTGTAGCCCCAGCTGTCCTGGAACTCACTATGTAGACCAGGATGGCCTTGAACTCACAGAGATCACCTGCCTCTGCCTCCCAAGTGCTGGGACTACAGGGGTGAGCCACCACTCCCAGCAAGCAATATGAAAATGTCAGTATTTTAGCGTAAGCATTTTTTTTTTTTTTTTTTTTTTGGTCTTTTTGAGACAGGGTCTCCCTGTAGCCCCAGCTGTCCTGGAACTCACTATGTAGACCAGGATGGCCTTGAACTCACAGAGATCACCTGCCTCTGCCTCCCAAGTGCTGGGACTACAGGCGTGAGCCACCACTCCCAGCAAGCGTAAGCATTTTAACATAAAAAATTTTAATGTTTTCTATTGGCTTTTATAATCTGGAAAATATTGCTGCTGTTTCTGTTATGTAAGTAAACAATCACAGTTACTTGACATTGGTTTAGACCGTTCTGCATAAAGCAATGAAAAAGAAAACAAAACATACATTTATATCATAAATTGTGTTGTAAATTTAAAAAGAAAATCCCAGGAGAATAACAAATAATGTAAGTAGATAGTCTCAAAGGAAGAAATCCATGTGGTCCTCAAAGGAAGCTCAACCTAGTTAATGCTGAGGAAAGGCAAAATTAAAACAAGAAATTTACTTTTTATAGTGCCCACAAAATGTTACGGACATTCTCAGGTTTTGTTTAGACTATAAATGATAAAGTAATGGTGATGTCTTGTAATTAACACATTTTAATACACTGGTAATCAAAAACAAAATTTTTTTTTTGTTTAACTGGGTATGGTTTCTATTTTCTAGCTATTTCTGTAATATTTGCACTTGAATTTTTTTTCTAATGTGTATGTGTTTGCTTGCATGTATGTGCACCACATGAGTGCCTGGTGCTTGTAGAGACCAGAAGGTGGCATTGGAACCCCTGAAACTGAAGTTATACATGATTGTTAGTTGCCATGTGGGTGCTGGGAACTGAACACCCCAGTAATCTGCAAGAGCAGCAAGTGTTCTTAACCACCTCGCTGAGTTTTTAAAATAATTTCTGTAGTTTGTTCACATTATCATTTCTAGTCTAGTATCATTGCATTTCTATTGTATTTATGTCTATAATTTGTCTTGTGCTTTCCGAATCATTTTGTTTCTTTGCCTTTTCTTCCTGTTCTCTTTTCAGTTGCTTCCTCCTTTATTTTGTTGTTGTTTTTCTTTTTTGGTGATGAGGTATATGATGGTAATTTAACAGTAAAATTTTGTGTCATTAGAAGCCTAAAAATATAGATTCACAGCTCAGCTATGTACCATACTAGAATTACATTTCTTTTTGGTTTTTTGAGATAATTTTTCTATAGCCCCAGCTGGTCTGGAACTCAGCTTTGTAGACTAGGCTGGGCTCCAAAGCTCCACCTGCCTCTACCTCCTGGTGCTTGGATTAATAGCATGTGCCACCCCACCCAGTTAGAATTAAATTTCATTTATAACTTTTTTTATGGGATTACTTTGTTGGCTCCATTAGATCACAATCTTTTTTCTGTTTTTTCAAAACCTTTCTAGAGACATCTCATACTAATTTCCTTTTTTCTATCTACACAGGTTGCTATGTAGTTTTCCTGTACTTCTGATGGACATTCGTGTTCCATATTTTGTCTTTGAAACCATATTACTGTGAACACTTTCTGATGCACATGTCTGCATACAACTGTCTGTGTTACTTAGGAGTAAATTTGCTGTATGTTAGGAGTTACATATCTCAAACAGTAATAAATAATTCCTATTTTCTTTTTGTTTTCTGGGACAGAGTCTCACATCCCAGGGCTGGCCTTTTAAACTTTCTATGCAGCTGAGGATAACAAACTTCTGATCCCCTTGCCTCCACTTCCTGAATGTTGTGATTATAGGCCCTTTATCACCACAAACTGCAGTGCTGGGAATTGAACCCAGGGCTTCCTGCATGCTAGAGAGTCATGCTACCACCTGTGCTACATCTCCACTCCCCTTTTGTACTTCTTTTAAAAATATTTTTTGTATGCTTGTATTGCCTACATGTATGTATGTATGTAGGTGCACTGTGTTGTGCAATGCCTGCAGAGGTCAGAAGAGAGCATCAAATTCCCCTGGAACTGGAGTTCTGGACTATTGATAACTGCCATGTCCTCTGCAAGAGCAGTTAGTGCCCTTAACCACTTACCCAACTCCAAATCTCCAGCCCCATATTTTTTGTTTATTTATTTATTTTGGTCTCTTTGAGACAGGGTTTCCCTGTAGCCCCAGCTGGCCTAGAACTCACTGTGTAGACCAGGCTGAACTTGAACTCAGAGATCAGAACTTAATAGGTGTTGCAGTCTTAAAATTGACTATTGGGGGAGGGGGAATGGAGAGATGTCTCAGCTGTTAAGAGCACTGGCTGCCCTTGCAGAGGACCTGGGTTCAATTCCCAACACCAACATGGCAGCTAACAACCACATGAAACTCCAGTTCCAGGGGATCCAAGGCCCTCTTCTGACTTCCTCAGGTATTGTGTGACATGGGTGCACTTACATATGTACAGGCAATACAATGCATACAAACAAAAATAAGTATTTTAAAAATTCACGATTGGGGCTGGGTGTAGCTCAAAGGTATATTACCTAGCATGCCAAAGATCCTGGGTTTGATCCCAAGTACTGCAAAATAAGATCACTGCCAACTTAACAGGTGTAGAATAATGTGTCATTGTGGTTTTAATTTTTATTTCCCTCATTACTGAGGTAGTTTATTGAATGCTTGTCTGTTCTTTTGAGACTTGCTTGTTTCTGTCTTATTTTTTCTTATTGGAGTGTGTGATAATAGTGTTTTTTAAAAGTACTCAGTACTTGTCCTTTGTTTATTGATAGGCATCGCCACTATCTTCTGCCCTTCTAGGTTTGTCATTTCACTTGTGTTGAGAGTTTACCTATTATGGTCATTTGGAAAATGTTAACATTTAATAGAATTGTAGTCAGGATATACTTAGCTTAGTGTTTTCTTGATAATTGGGACCTTCAATTTAATAAGGATTCCAAATTGTAACGGTTTTTCATTCACTGTGTTTAGCCACTTTGGACCTAGTTTGAGTTCAGAGAAACCTCCCAAGATTTCCCACCTCTAGGTTATATTCACAAGCTCTGTTCTTGACCTGAAATACACTTACCCCGCTGTTCACAATTCCCAACCAGTCATTCTGACATCAGTCCTGGTGAATCTACTTTCCATGGAGAAGCATTCCCTAACACTTTTCAGGCCAGGTTCCCCTTGGTTCCTATTCTAGTTATAGCACCCTATACACTGCTTTCATCATTCTTTCCACAGCCAATAATATGCATCTAACAGCTGATTGATGTCTTGATTTCCTGCTGGATTCTAATTCTCATGAGGACAAAGGCTCTGCTTTAGCCTCAACAATTACATGGGAACAGGCATGTAGTGAGGGCCTCTTAAAACTGGATTGAAAGTATGATATGCAATCTTGTTTTATTTGAAATTAACATTCACAATAAGGTACATACAAAATCACAAATAAATCTTCAATAGTAAACGTTATCTAGATTTCCTCTTTCGTTAGTCTTAAACAGATGTTGAAAGTAGTTTATCTTCATTAAGTTTACAAGTTTATTTCATTTTATACAAGGAAAAAAATAAGAGCTGGAAGTGTAAATATAGGGAAGCTTACCATGACAGAGATGCTTTATCAAGTGACAAAATAACCCTTCTCTAGGCTTTCACAAATATTCTTGAATAGATGTATAACAGTTTTCATACCTTGGAAGTCTTCATCTATTTCAATTTTTAATCATTTGTTGTACTTCTGACTTACAACTGTGCTAATTTTACTTCCTCACCCTTTCCCCAAACCCCCCTCCCCTTTGGTGGCAAAAATGTACATTCCCCATAAAACAGGTACCTACAGTAACAAGGAAGGTGCAACTACTTCTAAGGTTATGGTTTATCTGAATTGTATTATACCCTAGGAACTGGGAAGCTTCCTATGTTACTTGTGCAGCCAGTTCCTCATAGGAAGCAACTGATACTGCAATTTTCTGGGCTGTTTTCCCTATTATGAAAACCAGTAGTTAAGCACTAGCCTCTGAAGACTATTTGTTTATCTGTAAAACAAGAATCAGAATGGTTATCTTCACCCTGTGAGACTGCTGTGAAAAACTGTATCATGCATTACAAGAACTTGGAAAGAACTCCATAATTACTTGTTCTTATTTTAATCATTACCATCACTGTTATTTATGCATATTAACCAAACCAAGGGTGGAGTTTAAGGTCAGAAGTGATCCAAAAGATGGAAGAGGAAGTACAGATGATCCTAGGACCTCACCAAACAGAAACCTGCATGCGGTTCTGATAAACCTACTGAAGCAAAGCTGTGCTATGGGAGGTGGGGAGGAGTAAAATGGCTTGACTAGAATGATGCCATTGGATTAAGCCCACTATTAGAGTTGAAGACTTGGACTGCAGAGCACAGCAAACAATATACAGTGCACTCTATAGTGTTTTTTCTCAGATTTGAAAGCATAACAAAATGGAAAAATATTTCTGCATTCTTTTATAATAATGATTTGCTTGTGCATACCAGTATTCAGCTTACACAGAGGTAGAAATGTATGCATAGTTTGTATTAATTACCTTCAGGTAAATTCAGTAAGATCCTAGCCATTTTGCCTCAGTACTAGCCTGACTAGACTGGGACCATTACATCATCCAAAGTCAAAGTCCAAATAATGCTGCTGCTGTGGATGGCTCTGCAGACAGATGAGAAACAGCTGTGTTCCTCTCTGTCATTACTGAGAGCTGGGATAGTAAAAGGAAAGTTTTCACTGGAGTTTTTGGAAGTTGGAAAATAGCAATTTTAACAATCGATTTATTGTTTAGTACAGTATACAAAACCACATTTGGCTTATGTTTCTAAAGTGAATTTACTAGCACTTGAAAAAAAAGTAGTTAGCCCTTCTGAGGGTAATGCCGTCTTGCTCTCTTAATTTTCTATTGCTCAACTATTAGCATCATTCTTGCCCATAAGTTAATTTAGAATCAGTGAGATTAAAAACTACAATAGGACAGGTGTAGCATGAGAATAAGAGTGAGGTAATGAGGTCATACTGGTGGAAAAGAAAGAAAAATGCCTGCTCTGGTGGTCAGCAAGCCAAATGGAAACTTTAAGGCTCATTTTTGTTTCACAAGGAAGCTTAATAACAGAAAGTGCATTTTATATATAAAAACTGATAAAAATACAATTTCACATGTAGAGACCATTACCCATCTATTCACTTTAGTTCATGAAATTCCAAAAAAGGTATAAGAAATACATTTCATTTTTGAGATAAGGGAATCATGACCCATAATGTTTTTTATATATCCTACCATTCGTAGTTAGATTATTCAATGTGTTTTTGTTACTCAAAATGTGCATTGTTTGCAGACTGATTTTTGGAGATAGTTTATAGCAAGCATCCAGTAGAAACTTAAAGTCTAGGAAATGGAAGAATGATATTTTTCCCTACAGTCTTTGCTAGCTTACTCCTGAATCCTCCCATACCTTACAGAAAATGCAATGAGTCTTTTGTAAACCAGCCCCAAGAGCATGATGGTGAGAGCTACAATTCCACAAATGAGGCTGAATGCCCATCGTGGTCCCAAGTAAGTATACACATGGCTGATGAACACAGGCCCAAGAATCCGCGCTCCACTTCCAGAAGCTGTTAACCAGCCCATGTACATACCCTGTGGGAATAAGATGGGGGAAACATAAATTCAGGTCTAGTTATTTTAAAATAAAAATATCGCTATTACCAAACCACCAAACAATCGCTTTCTCTACCTTTTACTTTTAAAATAAAATATCTCCAAGTACAGCAAATAACTATGGTACCATGCTTGTAATCTCAGCTCCTGGAATGTAGGAGCAGAGGGGCAATTAGTTCCAGGCCAGGATACAAGACCTCATCTCCAAAAACCAATCTGATTAGGGGTGGTGTCTCAACTGGTAAAGTGTTTGCAAGCACAAGAACCTGAACTCAGTCCCCAGAACTGACACAAAAAGCTGCAAATGGTAGCATGTGCACAGGATCGCAGAACTAGGAAGGTGGTGACAGGCTCCTGGAGTTGTGCAGCTAGCCAGCCTAGCCTATTATTAGTTAAATTCTGGGCCAGTGAGCAACCTTGTCTCAAAAAGCCAGGTGGCTGGCTCCACAGGAATGACAGGTGAGATTGACCTCGGGCTTCCACATACACGTGCACACACATAAAACCTTAAGAGTCAATTAAAAAAAGGGACCACTTTGTGTGTGTGTGTGTGTGTGTGTGTGTGTGTGTGTGTGTGTGTGTGTGTGTGTGTGTG